TGGCGTGCGAGTGTGGAAGAATGCATGATGCTTCGTGGCCAAGTGCGTGAAAGCTGCATGGTCCGGGTCTTCACACGCCTGAACCCTAAACCCTAAACCCTAGGGTTTAGGGTTTAGGGTTTAGGGTTTCATGGAACAGGGTCTCAGGGTGCAAGCTCAAAGAAATCCTCAACAAACCCCGTCAGCTCTGCGACCCAAGCGTCAGCCGGATGGCGCCCTGCCTCGCGACAGCTCCCAGGATCGCCATCCGCTCGAAGCCCATATGGCAAGCACTGATCAGGCCGTCCTTGCCGAAGATAAGACTTTGCAACCTGCGGCTCGTGACTTTCATATTCAGGGTTTTGGGTCGAAACGCCATAAATTTTTCGTATGGATGATCCTATTTTGGCGATGAGCCACACAAGAGTTGTTCATGTTTTCATGCACCTCCCACGATAGAACTTGGTCTTCATGCTCATGGAGGCCCATGAGGTTGGAAGATCCAGAGACCCTTCAACTAATGTAGGGGCCTTAGTAATTAGAATAGGGTTTTGGTGTATATGACACAAAAATTATAATAAGGACCCCTCCCCAAAATAGCATAGGTAATTGTCTAGGCTTCTATATTAGCTTAACTCTAGGCCCCGGATCGTCAGAAGTTTAAGGCCGGAGAAACACCCCAAACACGCACAAGTAAACGCCTCTGAGACTTTTCTTGAACGCGAGACACTGACGCACCGCAGGAAACATGCACAGCTTGTCTTCCAAACATTAGAGCCACGTGTCCTTGACACGGTATATTCACACGCTCGTGCACATGTACTCACACCCTAAACCCTAAGCACTAAACCCCTAAACCCTAAACCCTAAACTAAACCCTAAACCCTAAACTCTAAACTCTAAACCCTAAACCCTACATCCCAAAAGCCTTTATTTTTTATTTGTCTTCTCCTGGGTCCCTGGAAATCTTGTAAACAAGAGGCGAAGCCTACTTGGAGGATCTAAGTAAGATTATAAGTCCCCAAATTGGGGTTATAATTATAGTTACCCTATTTATAACCCTAGTTACTATAAGTCCCATGATCCTCCAAGTAGGGTTTAGGGCTTAGGGAAACGGGTGATGAGGTCTCGGACTCTAGGGAGCAAGCAGAGATCATGAAGGGTCCTTCAGAATTAGAACCGGGTTTGGGGGTCTATTGTACTACAATTGTAAAAAGGAACCCCCAAATCCATGTTCTAATTATTATATATTACGGTTCAAGATTTTTTGTTGGCCTCCTAGTCTTCCTTTCTACCGGTGGTTGGTTGCAGAGCTGCTTACGCAACTCAACGAGTCCCGAGATACCATCCGGACATGTCCTGCATATGGTTGCAAACAAGAGGCTACCGTCAGAACTCCGTCAGAACTCCATGCTTCGACTTGCTTGCATGTCTCGGCCATCTTCTGGGATATTTAAAATATTTAAAAACTACCCTCAGATTCTCAGACCCACAGAACATTCCAAGAAATTACGGCCTACAGCCTAAACCCTAAACGCCCTAAAATCCAAGCAGCTCTGCGTTGAAACGTGCTTTGTCTTCGATCTTCGAAAGAATTAGCTCCGTGTCGGCTGGGTTGGATGCAGACATCTCCTCAAGGTGAGGATGCCGGGTTTAGGGTTAAGTTAGGGAGTAGGCTAGGGTTTAGGGGGTTGGGTTTAGGGTTTAGGGATTATGGTTTAGGGGTTGGGTTTAGGGCTTTGGGATTAGGGTTTAGGGGGTTGGGTTTTTGGGTTTAGGGAATAGTGATTAGTTTAGGAATTATCGTTTAGGGTTTAGGGTTTAGGGGGTTGGGTTTAGGGTTTAGGTACTGGGGTTAAGGAATTAGGGATCCCAATGCTGCAAGTACCACAATCCGAGGTTTTAAGCTCTTCGGGTCAGAAGGCCTTGCTAGTCTCAGAGGACTCAGGGACGTCTGATGCCCTGGGCCGCAGAAGGACTTGTCGAAAGAACTCTTACGCCGCACTCCAAAAGATGTAAAACATTAGCAGACATCGTCCTACAAACCCCACTCCCCGACATCAACGGCCCAAAACCCCAGGCGTCCTCGACTTTGAGGCAGTGAAGCCAGCATTCATACTGAGACAAGTTCTCTTGCGAGAGCGTCCGCATGCGTTGCACCATCCCAAGCTGCTGCGCCTGATGGATCTCCTTGGTGTCCGAAATGCCCGGATATCGAGACTTCTCCCAATTCTGAGAGGGTTTGTTTGGGGTTTAGGGTTTAGGGGTTTAGGGGTTTAGGGGTTTAGGGGTTTAGGGGTTTAGGGGTTTAGGGGTTTAGGGGTTTAGGGTTTAGGGCCCCGTTTTCTGCTTGTTGTCATGGCAAGGATACTTGCATTGGGCTCTCTAGTTTCTGAAACTCTCATCATAGTCTCCTAAGCCGAGGCATGTTTGCCTTGACCCTTAGTGTGAAGCTTATAATTACTATTCCGACGACGCGGACGACGATGCCGATTGTGCCCACTGGTTCGAAAATAGGGGGCCTGAACAAGCAGAAGAGGGTTTTGGGGTACATTATAGTACACTTATCATCCTGCCTTCCCCAATAAGCCAGGGAAATAAAAGGTTAAACTTTCAGATTACTACTAAGTTATAAGAACCCAAAAAGTTTCAAGGTTGGGTATTGGGGAACTAAGCATAAGGAACCCTAAGGAATAATGAATACTGTAAGTAATTATTCGCGCCCCTAAATTACTTGTATTAGGTACTGGTTCCGATCCGCTAGTCTGGGCCCCGAGACCGCAACGCACCAGGCGCGCGTGAAGAGGTGGAACCTTGGCTGATTTTGCTTCGGGATTCGGCGGTTTAGGAGAAACCAGGGTCTGCGACTTCGTCAGCAAGCAATCCTACACCTCAAGCCAAGTTGAAGACTTACTGCTGCATTGTTGACGCTGAACCCTACAAAATGTGCTTATACAGAACATGCAAGGCACTGCGCGTCGACGGCGATCACTTGCGAGAACCTCGGCAGATTTAGCCGAACGGCTACACTCAACCCCGGCCCTGGCCAGATCTCAAACATTCCCAAACGCTGCATACCAGATGTGTCTAAATCTCCGATACCTATGTACCTGTCCCTAAACCCTAAACCCTAAACCCTAAACCCTAAACCCTAAACCCTAAACCCTAAACCCTATGAACCCAAAGACCTGAAACCCCCAGGGTCTGCAAGCCCTAGAACCTGATCTCGAAACAACGGTCCCTTGGGGCTTTGGGATTGGCGACACTACGCAATCTTCCAGATATTACTACGTAAGAACCGACCCTTCCCGTTACAAAACCCAACACCACTCAACCTGAAAGCCAAAACCCAACATCTCTGACCCGTGTGAAGCCCGAAGAAAACCCTACGAGCTTAGGGTTTAGGGTTTAGGGGTGTAGGGGTTTAGGGTTTAGGGCAAGTATCTGCTAAGGCATCCACCGCCTATTCGTCATGGGCGCTTGGCCCCACCGAGCCCGAGGAAATCCTAAAACCTAATTAGGCGATAACGGTAGGGTTTAGGTTCAGCGTTTAGGGTTTAGGGTTTAGGCTTTAGGGTTCAGGGTTTAGGGTTTAGGGTTTAGGATTTAGGGTTCAGGGTTTAGGGTTTAGGATTTAGGGTTCAGGGTTTAGGGTTCAGAGCCGAAACCCAATCGGGCTGCAAGTGCACGATTACGAAGAAGCCAGGCTTAGTCGATTCCCTGGATCTGAGCCCCGAACCCGGAAACATAAATTCTGCACACCCTAAACCCCAAACCCTAAACCCCAAACCCTACAACCCTAAACACTAAAACCCTAAACCCCAAACCCCTAAACCGTAAACCCCAAACCCCAATCCTGAAACTACAAGCCCTCAAGGCCTTGAGAGCGACATTGTAGAGACCTGAACCCCTAAACCGTAGCCGAATCACATCTTGAAACTTGCATAGAATAGAAGTCCGAATATATATATATATATATGTATGTATATGTGTGTGTATATATATATATATAGAGCTAGCTTAGTAGCTTTAAGTAAGGCTATAGGGGCTAGTAACAGAAATTACGCGACCTTGGGGGAATATTATCGGTAGTGGTTCACTGCGTTGGACCCCTCTCCCGGAACCTCGTCAAAGATACTTGCTTCCGGGCAACCCAGGCTTCAGTGTCGAGATCAGCCCCATCATATCCTTGCACATACACGTCCCTAAACCTTAAACCCCTAAAACCCCTAAACCCCTAAACCCCTAACCCCTAAAGCCCCTAAACCCCAAAACCCGAAACCCGAAACACGTGTTTTGGAGTCTATAGGAGGTTTCAAGGGGAGTCCTTGTCATGCGAGTGCCGGCGCAGTACGGGGTTCGCAGGGTTTCGGCCGAATCGGTAAAGATCCGAAGCGGGAAGAGCCGCCACGAGCTTATGGGTTTAGGGTTTAGGGTATAGGGTTTAGGGCTTAAGGGTTTAATAGGTTTAGGGTTTAAGGGTTTAGGGTTTAAGGGTTTAGGGTTTAACATAGGGGCCTTAATTGATACTGGAATTAGAACAGGGTTTTGGGGTATAGTATAGCTTATATACGGGCCTTAACAGTTACAATAGGGCTTTGGGGGTATAGTACACCATAGGTATTAGCAAGGAATTGTCAAAACAGTATTGGCAAGTATTCAGGCCCTTTTATTACCATGATAAGTCCAATGAGGGCGGAGCCTAGCTTGCTTCGGAGGAGAGCTTCTTGTCGTCATTAACCATCACGGGGGGATCTGCCTATGGAACTGTCACATGGTAAGTGTGCAAGAGACAACAGCAGCGAGATGAGACGCAAGACCAAACATAGTGACAACAAACGACAGACGAACGTAATGAAATGCCGCCATTGCTCCACAATCCGGTGGCCTTGGTAGGCAAAGCAACTGCAGCCGAAGAGCATGCCAGGTCCGGAGCCAATGCCCGAAGAAGACAGACACACGATTCAACAGTGACAGTAAAGCCCTAACCCCTATAAACCCTAGACCCGAAATCCTAAACCCTACAAACCCTAAATCCTAAAACCTATAAGCCCTAAACCCTAAACCCTAAACCGTAAAGGGTTTCGAAAACTCTGCAGAGCATGCCGACCTTGTACGGCGGCTGACTGACACGAGGCCATGACAGATACATGACCACAACATGGCACAACTACTCGGCCGAAGAAACCCAGAGGCTGCTGCATCACATCAGATAAGGTTACCAGGACACGCTGAGATAGTGTTGGCTGGGGTCGAGAAGCCGGAAAAACGTTTGCAACCAACCATCCCTTCCACGACGAAGACTTCGACATGCTTCAGAAGGACAACCTGCCTAGATCCTGTTCGGGCTTGACCGTGTTAAGATTAAAGGTAATCCTCGTGCCGTGTTTCCTGAGAGCCCAAACCCGACACACTAAAAAACACCCTAGAAACTAAACGCTAAGATCTCTGAAGCACTTCGGCTTATGCCGCAAACCCAAAGCCTTCTTCAACCCTATCTGTAACCCTAGCGATCCTTGTAGAATCCTAATCACACCCCAAAACCCTCAAGTCTGAAACCCTAAAACCCTGAACCCTGAAACACAAAAGCCATAAAATCCTTTCTGAATGCTAAAGCCCTATGCCTATAGAATCCTAAACCCTAAACAGTAAACCCCAACCCCAAGGCATGAACCCTAAAACATGAAGATGTGTGCCAGGAGTCGTGGAACTTGTTCATCTCGCAGCGGACGCTCTGCCTATTGAGTCTCAGGAGGCATGTAGGGGCCTTAAGAATAGCAATCAAGGTGACTTAAAGGGTTTTTGCAATGGGCCTTAAGACTCAAAGCAGGGTTTTGCGTCATGTTCAATGTGGGGGCCTAAGTAATTACCAAAAGGGTTCGGGAGTTCCTTTGTTTGCTTATAGTATAATGGGTCCCAAAACCCTTTCTAATTATTAAGGCCCCTACATTACTCATAACTAGTGCGGAGCCCTGCACCCCCGAGCACATGCTATCCTCTTGTCTTCGCACACGACCTTATGGGCTCTAGGGTTTCACGGTTTAGAGTGTAGGGTTCAGGGTTTAGGGCTCAAGGGCTTTAAGGTTTAGGGTTCAGGGCTTACTCTAGGGTTTTACGGTTTTGGTTACTTGAAGGTCCATGTGTTACATGCTGTTCATGCACGTGAAGCTTGGCAAGCGATTGTTGCCGGATTATTCAAGGCATCCTTGCTGTCAGAATAATATAGGGGGCCTTAATAATTTTCAAGAGGGTTTTGGAGTCCATTATACTATAATTATAATAAGGAACCCCCAAAATAGTATTCGTAATTATTTAAGCCCCTACATTACTGCCTTCACAGTGTTGAAGCCTGAACTTGGGCATAGGTTCGGCCTAGCTGGTTCCAAAACGACTTGTCCGGTCTAGGAGTTGTGCGCCTGTAGGGTTTATAGGCTTCTTCTCCCCATAAATATAATCACGATGCATGGCTTTGATGAAGGGGATGATGCGAACCTGTTGATGATGCCAGCTGTGGTACTGGTCGATTTGTACTGGCAGTGACGGTGCTGGTGATTCAGATTCAGAGGCTGTAGCATGTGATGTCTGATGTCATTGCTCCTGCTACTGTTTATCTGAAATACTGATACAGAGTGCCGGGAATTTAGAACAGTTATTCGAGCAAGACTGCCAAGCAATCTTGTCCCACTTAGGGCGGTTAGCAAGATTGACAGTGACATCTTGGTCTAAGTGGGTGGTTGTCAAAATTATGGTCCCTTTTTGGGTCCTTACTATAATACGGCACCTATTATTTAGGATACCCCAAAAGGGACCATAATTTTGACAACTACCCAAGCGGTAAACTAGTCGGCGGGCACGTGAGGCAAGAAGATCAAGATTGCAAGATGACCCGCGGCCGACCAAGATGTCCAAAATGACCAGTGGCCGACCACGATTTTCGGCCTTTTTAGTTGTTCCAAACACCTTGCCCAATGTACTGATACTATAATAGCCCTATAATACTAGCTATAATAATGCTATAATAGCCCTATAATAGTACTATAATAGCCTTATATATAGTGGCCGTGAGTACTGTTTTCGCTGTGTAAGGGTTGGTCAGGGGTTGCTCTTACCACCCATCTGGCCTTTAGCTGCGAATGCTCGTCACTGTTACCATCATTGGCACTGACCTACACCAACCCTAAACCCTAAAACCCTAAACCCTTAAACCCTAAACCCTTATAGACTAATCATCTATCAAATGGCTCCTGATTCTCGCGTGATATGCCGGCTGCAGCCACACTGCGCACTAGAATCTGGGAAGTATCTCGCAGTCTGGCGCTGTAAACCCTTAACCCTTACCCTTCAGACTCCAGACCCTAAGCCCTAAACCCTAAACCCTACACTCTAAACCCTAAACCCTTTAAAACCTGAAAGCCCCAGCCCCAGGTCCCCCTACCCCCACTCCCCTCAAAAAGCAAAATGAGGTTCATGATGTCGGGCCTTGAAGCACCAGTATTAGCCTAAACAATATATATATATATACATATATGACGTTGTAGTGCAGGTACCCTTGGACGTAGTCAGCCTAAACAAGGACCGCCCAAACGCGACATTCCGCGAAGCTGGATTCAAACACTGCACCCTGCTGCCAACCCCAACGCATCAACCCTAAACGCTAAACCCAGAACCCTAAATTTAAAAACCCTGAACCCAAAATTTAAATTATCTAAGGGGCCCATCTTTGAGTGGCGGCGTATCGCTCCAGTACTTCGGGTGCTCGCAGGTGCAAGCCGGAGGAAGCTGGCAGGTCACGGGATCCTCGGGAGGGTTTGCGGTTTAGGGTTTAGGGTTTAGGGTTTAGGATTGGAGTTTAGGGTCTCGGAAGGTTTTAGGATCATATAGGGCTTTGGGTTGATTGTTTAGGGGTGTAGGAGGGTTTTTGAGGTTCTGCAAGAACGTACAGCTTCTACTTGGAGGATCGTGGGACCTAGTAACCAGGGTTATAAATAAGGTAACTATAAGTATAACCCCAATTAGGGTACTTATAACCTTGCTAAGTCCCANNGTCCCATGATCCTCCAAGTAGGTCCTTTGCTCATGCTTTGGTCCTTCGCTTTTTCAACCTTGGCTCCGACCATTCTATTCTTTGAATTCGGCTTGCGTGGCATAACATACCCTAAACCCTAAACC